CTCAAATGAAATATGTTTGGAAAGTGCATTCTCAAACTTGATCCTATGTGATGAGACAGAAATCAATTGGATCTCTCCTGAAAGACAGGAGAGTTGGTCGCCTCTATCCTCATCAATTACAGTCAAATTTTTTTAGTAATGTTTGTACTAAATACAAAGTTCGAGACACATATATGTATCCTTGAAGGTGTTAGCCCAATGATTAGTGTAGTAAATTTAGTACAAAAATGACTAGTCAAACATGTAAAAGGCATTATAAAAATAAAAATAAATCCTCAATCTCGTAAACCCATTAAACACAAATCCCACAGCCTTCATCAGGATGCCTGATAAATGAAATTTGTCAGGGGGAGAGAATAATAAAGCAGGGCATTGCTTGAACATGGAGTGGGCATATTAGAACTTTTCGTTAACCTGTTGAGTGTGCACAATTGAGTTTGAAAGGGATTACTTTAAACTTTGAAGAGATGGCCCAAATAGAATAGGCTTAAATAGTGCACTGTCATGCCTGGTCCCATATGATGTACAAGAATAAATCAGACTCCCTTTTTATCAACAACTTCTTAGAGAGTTGATTATGACTGCCCTACAACAATAGGTTCGGCCTAAAAACCAACCAAACAAAACTTTGCTCATCCTCGTAATGAGAGAGAGTATTTGGTATTCAATGCATTAAAAAAAAATCAACTGATGAGAAAAACAACTTTACATAAAACATCACAATTTTTTTTTATAAGAAAACATCACAAATTTTCTTAAAACTCAAAAGTACTCCCCTAATGACTCAAATTCTCAAAACCAAAAGTTATCTGATTGCTAATTATTATATTTTAATATCCTTAGAAGATTTGATGTCTTATAAAGTCCCTCGACTTAAAAATAATTGCTACATTACAAGACATTTGACCAAACCCAACTTCTAGCTCTAGAATGACTTGAGACCTATGGTTTCGACCTGAGTAATGGGACCATGGAGCAAAATATTACTCACAAAAGTCGAAGAAATTTTGACACATTCTCAAAAAAGAAGTAAAATCTCAGAAACTATATGCCACATCCAAAAAAGAAATTTCCCTGTCTTCCTTTAGTTCATGAGATCATAAAATTAAAAAATGTGCAGTTGGGCATAAATCAAATATTACTGCCTAAATCAATATTACTGACTTCTGAAGTCCAATTCTAACATGATTAGAACATTACAAATAAAACCATCTGCCAATTGAACATATAACAATGGGACATTAAATATTATAACATTAATAATTAATGTCTGCAAAGAAAAAAGAATCCTATACAAATGGAGAAAACCAATGAGTCAAAAATTACGCCAATATGGAAACACCAAGCTCAACATGATCACTGTAATAGTATAATTACTATATATGAAAATAAAATATAAAGCATAAACTCTACTGTATCTTGATTTCTTTTTAAATGAAAGACAACGACATAGCTGAATCTTGACGGTAAGTCTTCATATTAAGAAGAACAAACTATACAAATGGAAGAAAAGAAACCTATGAATCAAAAAACCCTTCAAGATAATGTAGAAACACCAGATCACTGTCTTAGCATAATTACTAGATCCGAGAATACAGCATAAACCATAAATTCAACTGTACTTCTTAAGAAGCACCATAGCGCAGCGCATGCATTAAACATATAGACACTTCCACATACAATGCATATCACGGCTTCCTCAAAAGTCGCAAGTAGAAGAAACGAAATCAATATACTATAAAATGCCAAAAACATACTCAGCACAACATTGAAATACTGCATATAATTAAAACCAATACAATCTCCTAAAAATTTACTAACGCGTCTAGTACATACACGGTCCACGCAGCACAAACTTAGCCTCAAAATACATATCCAGCATTACGAATAATTCAGCAGCCGCAACTCGATGAAAACTCGAAGAGCAAAAACGAAATAAGACACAATAGCCAAACAAACAATTAAAGAAAGACAAACAGTGAGATGATTGAGAGCGCAGGTGTACCTGGAGCAGGGTAGAAGCATAAGTGATGTAGTTTCGGATGGCGCCTTGACTGGTGATTCGGATTTCGTTTTCGTTTATCGGATATTCAGGCTTAGGTTTCTCGACCTTCTGATACCTATCCATGGCGTCGGTATTTGGCGTGCAACGCGGGAAGCGAGAGAAGGAAGGAAAATAGAAACCCTAACGGGCGAGTGAGAAGAAGCTTGAATTGTGAGTGTTTGAGCGAGCTGAAGAAAAAGGGAAGCGGGGGGCTAAAACCTCACCATTTCTCTTTCACTTTCCTTTTAAACTCAATACCAAATGGGCTTCGCCAGGTGCACTCATTTTTTCCTTTTTTCTTTTTTCTTTTTCTTTTCTTTTGTGCGCCAAACACCATTTGCATATTTGGCGCGTAAAGTGCACCGACGGTTGAGATTTCTTTTTCCAACAGTGAAACCATGAGATCAATTTGAGTTAAGCTTGTGTACTATCAAATTATGTTAAATTAAAAAAAAAACTAAAAAATACTTTTGAAATTTGCCATTTGTTTCATAAGTACTCATATTCTTTGAAAAGTTAACTGCGACAAAATCTGTACAATGTGGCAAGGTTTGAACAGAGAAAAAACGTGGGAGAAGCTATTATTTTTAAAAGGAGATTGAGACGAGACAAAATTGAAATCTATATGATATGTTTGGTTTCATGTTAATTGTCACGTTGTTCTATATTCTATCACGTAAATTTTCTATTCAAAATATTAACAAATGTTTGTTCAAAAGGTATTGAAAATGATAGATGTAATTTTTAAACGGAAGCAAAATTTAGGAATATTCTTGTATTTAGCCATAAAATTGAACTAGAAGTTAAGTCATGCAAAATTTGCTTAGCTAACGTTGGCAGAAAAAAAAAACAAATTAGTATATCTTTTTGCCTGTTTAAGGCTTTGAATTTAGTAACATCGCAAGTTACATAAATTTAAGTAGTATAAGCTCAATTTTATAAAATCTGCATTTTTATATTGCATATTGTTTTGTACCTTTTTATATTGCATATTGATTTTTACCAATTGTAAATTGAGAACATTGGAGAGGTTGGGAGTGATAAGATCTAAGGATTTATAATTTCATTGCTCTTTAGTTGTCAATTATTTTTTATTGGATGATTGTGAAGTAGGAGATTGAACTATCGACCTTTTAAAGATGATAATAAATGTCTTATCCATTCAAACTACACTCAAACTATGCTCGAATTGACGACAACTATAAAACATTAAAATAGTCACTTTAAAAAGATTCATAGTTCTGTTATGTTCTTGCTCGTAATGTGATCTTATGCGAGAAAAAAATGAGTACATCCTTCACAAAAGTTTGTTACTCCAAACTATCTTTTTAAGACAGAAAATTACTTGATACAAACATCTACTAGCATTGATGAATCAAGAGCTTATCTGTAGAGTAATAGGGATCACTACAGTTTGATGATTTATGCAGTTCTTGAACTCTAAAGTACAGAGTTAAGTATACCAATGACTGGTACTCATTCAAAGATGTCTGAAATTTCTTATCTCAATCTCGACCTGCAAAAACCCGAAAGATTCGCATTCCGAAAAGGGGAAGGCAGATGCCAAACTCAGTTAACCTCTCACACTGAAGACTTGTTAGATGATGGTTTGAATGACACTCAAAATATTATTTCAGACACATTTTCTCCATAGATATTTAAAGAAATTTTACATACAAATCCTCCGTATTTGCATACAATAGATAATTCACAGATGGCAGGCAGATCAAGGAGTTGATGCAGCCTTGGCAGATCATCTGTTTTCCTTCTCATTCACAGTTCTAGCACCACAACTGTCCATTCAAGACAGAGAGCAAAAGGTCAGTTTCTCAAATCTTTTTGTTTGATAACAACTTTCTCGAAGTTAGTTAGTGAAATTGGGATTAGAGCCTTACATTCAGAATCTGTAGTGATCCAACTTCCTTTTCTTGGATAATAGTGATTGATTTCTTGGATGGCAGTGGAACCCAGTGTTAAGGAACAGTTCCTCAAGGAGGAGACGGCCGATATCGACGAGTAGGCCGAGGAAACAGTTGAGCAGCTTTCAGTTTCCCATCTGAAACTGATCTTGGGGGAGTCGTTGCTTGTTCGATCATCATCTGGGCCTGCTTTTAGAGTTTCTCGGTTTCGCATCCGTGAAGCCTGAAAGAATTTGCATAATTTTGAGCCATCCAGTTTGAGGATTTTGACATATTCAATGTGGGTATGAGGACTATGTAGTATCCCTTCATTTTTGCATCATTGGAAAGACTACTTAATTGACAGTGAAAAGACTACTTAAGCCGTCAGAAAGTAGAAAATAGAAATGTAGGTAGAATAGATTAGCTATTCATCAATAAGAATGCTGATGGCCATAACGATGAAAATGACACCATTGGCTTGTGTTTTGCTACTTTCATATCCAGCATGGTCCACATGGATACACATCACAGTCACCATTCAATATGCAGTTGGTAATGTTAAAAAATATACCCATAAGAGATTAAATATATTTTACCACCTAAGCTTTTGAGTTTGGCGGTAGATTAACATGGTATGAAAACAGGAGATCCTGCATTTGAATCTCTACGACATCACCTTCCTCCCAAAATGATAGTTAATATTTGGAGTCAAGAGTGGAGTGTTTAGAATCTACCTCTAAAAGATTAGATGTACCTTAACCTGCACGCTTAAACTTCCGAGTTGAACGAGTTTAACCGTAGTTTAAGAAGTAAACGATTTAAACCAAGCTAGAAAGATGGTTAATTAAATTTCTTGTAGAGAGAAATTTCAGGCATCCAACCAGGGCAGGTTGTTAAAGAAGTTAAGAACATCACCTTGCCAGTGATGAACCTCCCTCCTTTCTCTGATTTTGAAGCCATGGCCCATCTCAGAAGTTCCTTCATTCTTGATTTGGCTTTGTTTTTACTCTCCCCATTCGGCATGACTTTCTTATCAGTCTTATTGCTACATTGCTCTACAATAGAGGCATCAGTTATTGGCAAGACTCTGGTGCCTGCATGAGCAGAAGAAGAATCTGCCTTTTGACCAATCTCTCTAATTTCCCTCACAATATCTTCTTTTTTCATCTTTTGGATCCAATATTGGTGCATATTATCAAAGCCCTGAGTTCTTGGTCTCTTTATATTAATGGTACTATAGAAGCAAGACTTGGCAATATCCTTTCTGCACAACAAAGCAAATGACTTCAACTTCCTTATATCAAACTTCCTTCCTTCAAACCCCTTTGATCTTTGAGAAGCCCCACAATGAACAGACACCACTATCTCCTTTGATCTAACAGTTCCTTTATCTGGAAAAAAAGGAAAAAAAGAAACAAAAAACAAAAAAAAATCAGTACCACTTTGGCATTTTCCCAAACAGATACAGGGCATTTTTTCTCTTACCCCAACTTGTTTCCTTCTTGCTGGAATGTGAAGTCCTCTGTGCATCTTTTTCATCAGTTTCCTTACAAAGCCATTGAAGAACTTGCTGCAATTCATCAAAACAAAAAATACCCATTAAACTTTAACAGAAAAAACACAGAGAAAACCCATCATTCTTTTTCAGAGCTAGCTGTTGAAAGTCTTACCTGCATGGCTATGATTGACAGAGTGAGCTTCCTTTATAAGGGGTTATGCACATGTCAAAGAAAGAGGAGAAAGGTGACAAACTTTGGGTCAAAAGGGAAAGCACTTGCAAATCTGTCTGTGCTGTCCCTCTGCTGAAGATTCCCTGTCTTCACTGTGAAAGGCTGAGGGGGAAAATGAAGACACAGAAAAACTTTGAAGTGAGAATCTAAGGAAAGATGCTGAGACAACCAAGCAAATGAGTACAAGAGAGTAGCCATGTGATTTGAGCTATTTATAAGCTACAAAAGAGAGAGGAATTGCCATGTGGTGGGTGTTATTAGGTTGGGAGATTTTGGTTAATCAAAGAGCTTAATTGGGGCCACGTGGCACTGTGGTGGCCATACACTTGGAAGAATATGGATCATTGATTTGGATTGGTCCCCATTATATGGGGCCTAGGGCTTTTAAATAGACCATGATTCATGGGGTGGAGTGATGAGCTTTTATGATGCTTTTTATAATAGTTGGGAGTCTAAAACTTGCATTGGAGTGAGTTTAGGAGATTGGTGAAATATGGAGACTAGTTTGGTTTTGGCCCCTCATTGATTGAATGGGTGTTAAATGAGAATTGGGAATGTTTGTTTCAGGGGTGTTAATAAATTTGTCTGTGAAATGCGCGTCGTGCAGAATATTGAATGATCTTCTTGAAAAGTTTCACCGGCTACACTTTCTTGCCCGTTTTTGTAGGGTGAGTATTACTAATAAGGGCGCGATCCTAATATTAATAATAATTCTAGAGAAAATGATGCGCTACAAGAATGATGCCTTGAAATTTTCAATAATAGGATACTTTTCGATATCACCCATCTAAATTTTGTCCTAGTTGCTCACAATTTAGCCAAAAGATTAACCATCATGAATTGATCTAATAGTCGATGGAAAAAAATGAATGGACTTGGAATAAATGAGTTCAAACTATGGTAACTATCAACCATAAATGTTAAAGTTGTATCTAGAGAGATTAGTCAAAGTCCACTTGAACTAGTCAAACATTCACCATAAAAAGGAAAAATAGTAAAAGAGATTATTTTTAGTGACATTCACAATCATATGGATTGTAATGTCCCAAGCCTATGATTTTGACTAGACTTCATAATTCGGATTCGGTACCTATTTGTCCCGACATCCCAATGACATGGTTGCACCACCTTCTTTATCTTAGCTCCTTAGAAGAGTAAAAACTATCACTACAAACCCACACAAGTCCTTTCAACATGTTTTGTCCTCACCCACGTGCTTTCTAATAAAATCTCTTAGGATGTCATATATTGGTTAGAGACATGTCAATTACCACAAGCTCATGTTGGCGACAATCAATTTTTTTAAGTCTTTCTTAACTATGCTTCCATGAACTCACGATCTCTCTTACTAAAATGTGGTACCGATTCATCTATGTACCCTTTTTTTTAGCTTATAAACTTTGTCTAAAAGCTATATCACATGGATGCCTCTATTTACCTATGGAAAATACAAAGGCTCCTCACCGATCAGGACAAAATCTTATTCTCACTACCATTGAAAAATTGACAATTCGTTATTAAAACAAAATATATGTTTTTGCATTTCTTTCTCTTAGTTGTCAAATATTTAATAGTGGCCAGATAAGATTGGTCTTGAACGACAAGAAGTCAAATTTATTTTATGTATTTATTATTATTATTTTCGCCTATTTTGTTTTGTAAGGTGTTTTCATCTAGCTTTCTTATTTAGAGTAATACATGAAATAAAAAATAAAATAAAATAAAAAGCAAGAAAAAGTCATTTTGTATTTATTTATTTTTTAGTATAACAAGCGAGAGTGGAAATTGGAAATTGGGAAGGCATGCCTAACTTTTGAGTTAACTTTTCGTTATTATAAAAGTTAATTAAGTGAAATTCATGTGGTGTTATAGTAGTGAAGAGTGGTGTCAGGTATAAATTCTGAAATTTTTTATGTAGTTGGGACAGTAACCGAATTTGGCGGACGAAATTGTTTTTTNTTTATTACTATTTTTTTTTTCAATAAGTCATGGGTTTGAGTTGGGGGAGACAAAGTTTGGATTTTAGACAAATTTTCATATAATACCCGTCTTAAAATAAACAATAAAGTTTAGATTTTAGACAAATTTTCATATGATACTCCTCTTAACATAAACAACACATTTTCTCTTCTGTATAATGGTATCATTTTATATTATCAACTTACTTTTAACGAATCTAATTCAATTGGTTAAGATATCTATATTAAAAAATCGAAGATTTGAATCTTCATCTTTACGGGTATTGTTGTTGAACAAAAAAATATTTTTAATTTTCATTCCCCATGAAAAATTGTCTTTTGAATTATCAATATAGAATGTCATTGGTTTTTTAGCACCTTAAAGTTATTAGATGGTACATCTTCACACGAAATTTTGAAGAAGAGAAACATGAAATAAATAAATTTATGTTTGTATTAATGTATGAGTGTTGACCTTTCTAATGTAAAAGTCATTTGACTCTCGTATATAAAAAATGTTGATCTTCTAAATTATTGTGAGTCCTCGTAGATCTTTGAATAATTATGGATTATTTTGAATGATTCTCTCGTTCTCTCTCAATTGAGAGGTGTCTCCTTTAATTATAAAATATTGCGGGCCTTATGTGCATTTTCTTAACTCACGTAAATTTGAGCTCAATCGTCACATGGGCTAATAATGTTATCGAACGATGGTAAGAAAGACACATTTTTAAATTAATTTGAAGACATTTGTAAATTTATTATTGATTGGTAGTTGGCCAAAAAAATTTTCATGTATAAGTGATTTTTTGGTTTCAAATTTATCACGGTTGATAATATCATAAGTTGAATTGGACGGTAGATTTGATGTCATTACATCACTATCAAACGATCGTTGGAGTCAGATTTTCATGCTTGAATAATGAATGACCAAATGCACAAAAGACGAAAAAAATTTTCGTTTTCGTTTGAAAAAAAAAAGAAAGAAAATAATAACAAGAAAAGAAGTTATATTATTAAGAGGTAATCAAAATTTTATTTGAGATTTTGATCTATGTTTATGTGTTATACATTTTTCGAGATAGGAACTATGTTGGCTAACGATTCGAGATATATCCCCTACTATTCTGATCATTGAATAAATAAAAAAAAAAAAGATTCTAACAATAAAATCTTATTGAAATTATCTATATTTAGTTCATCATTCAAAGCTATATCACATCTTACATAAAATGAAATGGGATGAATTGATTAAAGTAAGCATAGTTCAGCGATAATTGATACATATCTGTCAACAAGAAGGTTTGAAAAAAAAAAGAATTGTGTCTTAAATTACTTCTTTATTTTTCGATCGCCCAAAAAGTTCCAGCACCTTTCCTTCTCCTAGAATCTCCTAAAACCCATGTTTGCTTACGTGTCACTATTTCCTCCCTTTTTCTGGTTTCATTTCATGTTGACGTGGCATTTTTCTTGTGGTTTGGTAACAAGATGGAGACAAGACGTTTATCCACTTATTTAATGCTCCCTTCTTTTATATCATTTTACTGTATAATTTTCAAAATAAAAAGTTTAGTTGGATAGTATATCAAGTCAGTGAATATAGTTCAACGATAATTGAAAAAAAACAATCGTATAGTCTATTTTGAGGCGATAATAGATATGTTATTCATTAGATTATATTTAAATTGATGTCTAATCCACTACATTAATTGTATTACACTAAAACTATAGATATCATAACATTAAGCTTAAACTTTTCTGTTAAAAATAGCATAAATTGTATTCGAATCTTAAAAACTCAGTTTCTCACTTAATTAAAGTCCACAAATTGATGATTTTAAAAAAATAATTATATTTTTATAAATACATATTTATTTAGTCATTCCCCTTATTTTTAACCTTATAATCAATTCACGGGTGAATATTGGACTCTTCCTATATTGCTTTTGTGACCATATTGTACATTTTTGTTCGCCCTATATTGTGTTCAAAGTTTGAATAAACATCTTCGATTAGGCTGTTATTTCAAGGTCTAATAGGGACATTTTGGTCTTTTAACATGAACTAACTTTATTATGAGCTCATATATTCTAGCTACTAAATCGAATTGTAACTTGTGCAACTACTAAACCAAAGAGTGTTTGGAGAAGACAATGGTAAAACGAATTACATTAATAACAATAAACTGATTGCTCTCAGCTGAACGCAAAAACATGAACCAAAGGACAACCCTGCCCACAAATACAATGCTGCTGCTGCATCCCACATATTATCAGAAAGGAAAAAGGAAGAAGACAGACACTGCCTAACAACGCTGGAAATTTGTAAAAAAACCCGAATTTCAAGCTATCAAAACAAATATGTGATAAGATCATCCCACTGGCCAAGGCAAGCATTGAGCTCAAGTAAGAGGTCGAGGTTGGGACAAAATAACCAATACGTTTCAACTAAGCCTGGTCTCCACCGCCACCGCCACTGCCGCCCCTTGTTCGGCCTCCCATCCGCCCCCGTCCCCGGCCATAACCTCTACCCCCTCCACCTCTGCCTCTTTCGTATCCAGCTCCTGCAGGAAGAAAATAATTGCTTGAAACGCCTTGTTCCCCACAAGAGCATTTTTGCAAACATGGCATGATTAGAAGTCTAAGAGCTACTACATACACCAAAATTGCTAGTTACAATTTTGAGGAAAAGAAAACAAGTTCAAGCTCAAGTTCAAGCTTTCGAAACATGCCATGATCAAAACTCGACTTTCGAAACATTCCTGCAGTCAACTCAAGTTCAAGCTCATATTCTGTAACGCATGGAGAAATTTAAGAAAAGAAACTAACCGCGATAGGCCCAGCCTCCTCTACTCCGCCCACCTCCTCTTCCCCAATTTGAGTACCCACCATTATCTATGTGGAATGAAGAACTAACAAATGTTAAAAACCATACTCCAGAACAATATGAAAATGTAATAGAGTAAACACTTTAAAGCAAACTTCTATCTAAAATATCTGATAGTTCCATACTGACCTTGATAATATCCTCCAGGTCCACCTTGGTAGTTGTCAGGTCCACCTTGGTAGTGGCCATAACCACCTTGGTAGTGTCCATATCCACCTTGATAGTTGCCGTATCCACCTTGATAGTTTCCATATCCACCTCTTCCCCAACCACGCCCTCTCCCTCTACCACGCCCTCTGCCTTGGCCATATGGATCTGCAAAATGCCAGAGATAAGTCAAATCCTGTACAAGTAGAGTACCATAATCCAATGGTAAAATGTTGTTGAAATCACCTTCATTAACAGCATTGTGATAAGTACGAGGTTGTCTGGGCTGTGGTTGCAGCTGCTGCTGCTGATTGTTATATTGTTGCTTTGGCTGTTCCACAAAGTGTGGAGCTTGATATCTACCAACAAATGGTTTTATCGTCATACACAGGAAAGAAACTGAAGCATGATATATGTTTTGAAAAGAAGTAGCTAAAATCCAGCATTTTATACTGAACTGCAGAATAAGCAAAATATTCACATATCTTCTGTAAAGTTTCCAAAACAACTTACCCCGGAGAATTTTTATTTAGCTCTCGGTTGGACAAGGTAATTGAAATCATTGAGACGTGACGAGTCATCTCCACCCTGTATTTCACATTATAAGTTATTACCTATACGTCTAAAGTACTAAGCTACATAATACAAACCCATAGAACATGCAACAAAGTTGAGACTGATGCATATACAGTGTAAATAAAACAAAAAACTAATAATTTCTCTAATTCTCTTTATACAATTAACTTAGAATGCAAGAGATTAAGAAAACTTACGGTACAAGACCTTCTTCAATGGGTTCCCATACGTCAGTGATGCTTACTGAGCTGATTGCTGTTTCTTGATGCAACCGTGATATTCTCTTCTGTTTTCGGATATACATGGCTAATCAATTTCATAATACACAATATCCGCATTCAAAGCCACACATGTTCTAAAGGAAATAAACCTTTAAAATTTCTGCAATAGCCACTGCTTTACTGATTGCCTGCCCCATTGCTTTTAAGACAATCTCTCTGACACGTTTTTCCTGAATAAGTTGCAATAACAACATTCTATGTCATATAAATTTTCTGATAAACCAAAATACTATAGGCAGTCTACCACATCACATAATCAAGAGCAAAAGGTACCTGAAAAAGATCAAGAAGATGAGAAGAATATAAGAAGGAGAAGAAGAAAGGGAAGAAGAAGATGCATCATCACAAATCTATCACAAGAAGTTCGAACAGACAACAGTAAGACATCAGTGTAGGTAAAGGAACAACAGAATAATCAAGGAAAAAAGAGCTGATACATAATAGACAATGGTAAAACAGATGTATCATCCTGACTCCAGAGATGAATCGAAAGTATGAGAGAATATTTAAAAAGATGAAGAAAATAAGACAGAGAAGCATATGACCATTGAATCCAGAACTTAACAAGTAGTGGAGCTCTGGACTAATGTTTCTGGACCCACAGAGCTTCTGGACTTTAATGTATTTCAATGACCCACAGAGCTTCTGGAATAATGTTTTCGTCACTTCTCTGTGAAGCTCTAGTTCTATGAAGTTCGTAGTCAATTCTCCTTCCTCTATAAACTCCAATTGAAATGTGTTCCTTATCTCGTTCGGATTTTTTGGTATATCTCATTCTTTTCATATATATATATTTGCTTATCATCAGACAAACAGCACGCACATCCCAAAAAGATTACGTCTCTAACCAGCGGCCCAAAAAGATATCAGACAGGCTACAACAAGTGACAAAATACGAAGTTCTTCCAAATACCTACAAGAGTCAGTGAATTAACATACACTACAATTACACAGGAAAAACAAGGAATGACGAATCATCTACTGTCAGTTACATGGTGAACTAAAACTCATTACACAGTGCACCGAATTAAACAATAAAATCGATTGACACCAATCCTATAGAACATGCATAGCATTGGCAGAAAAAATCAGCAGCCGCAACTCCGATAAGCAGGTGGAAACTGCGCAATGCAATCAGACGATGGAAGGAGGAAGTAAGAAGTATATTGAAGTGGGAAATGATACCTGGAGCAATGTAGAGGCATAGGTGATGTAGTTTCGAATGGCGCCTTGACTTGTGATTCGGATCTCGTTTTCGTTGATGGGTGATTCGGGTTTGGGCTTCTCGACCTTCTGGTACCTGTCCATGGCGGATTGGATGTGGCGAGGCGACGCGATGGAGGGAGATGACAGAAACCCTAACGGGCCACAGAGGAGTTAACTGTATCGCTTTGAGCAGAACAACCTAAAACCTCTCTCTCTCAGAGGAAGGTTTTTTTCTTTCCTTCTTTATGAAACGTTTTTAAGTAAATATATTGTATATATATCTATATATTGTATTGTATATTTTTTCCTAATCAATTTCAACCATTGTACTTTTCTTGTTAAATGATGTGTTACTTAAAAAATAAATAAATAATTTCTTTTTCTTTTAGTACGAATCGGAGACTATTTTGATTGGATATATATACCAATTATTATTAAATTACGTTCATTTTAACAAATAATAATATATTATGATAATTAAATAATAAATTAGTACTGCATTTTAACAAATAATAATATATTATGACAATTAAATAATAGATCAGTAGTGTGACATTTAAATAGTATTATAGATCCATTTATCGTTTATTATTTCTAATAAATATAAATTTAATTGTATTTAATTATTATTTCTTGTTTCTTGTTTTTTTTATTAGCAGTAACTATTTTTTTTATTTATGTTCGATAACTTTAAATATTAAAAAATTTATATGAGATTTAATGTTTTAATTAAACATTAAATATTTATATTATATTTATTTTATACATTTTATAGGTTAAAATTATAAAATAATATTTTTATTTATGTTTCGAAAAATTTTGAAATTTAAAAATTAGAAATTGAAACAAAAGAAACAAACAAACTTTGGTTTTTTTGGGATACCTAAGACTTTGTTTTGTTATTTCAAAAAATATGTGATTTTGAAGACATTTCTTAAAAATGAAAACGAAAAAACAATAATAATTGTCAAATATTTATATTTTTCAACATTTATAAAAGATAAATGAAAACGTTTCTTCGTCGACTTTACTCATTCCAAATTGAAAATAAGAAAACAAAAAAAAACCCTGCCCATATAAACATTATTGCAAATTGGTTTGATTAAGTATATTTGTGTTATCAACTCATCCTTCGATTTTAATAATGTATGAAGTTAATTGAAAATTTTGTATTATTGTGAATAGAAAATACAAAAGTTTAAAATATTATGGACATTGGAAATTGGGGACAACATCGAAAGATGATTTGTATTTTAAAATTCATTATTTATTTACCGTTGTTTCTAATTTTCACTGTACTGTTATTTGGAATTTGCTTTCAAATATATTAACAGCCTGCTCTTTTTACTTCAATTTATGTTTGCCTTCCACCAATTTTCATGAAAATATCACCTCTTTTTTAAACAAAATAAAGATTGATTGTTTATGATGAAGCCATGTTAAAATGTTATCTGCACCTTAGTGTTTTAATTAAAACATATATTTAATTGTCTACTTTATTATTTTCAAAAAAAAAAAAAAAGATTGTCTACTTTATCATAATTTTGAATTATGATGTATATATTATATCACAAAAAAAGTTAAAAATTCGAATATTTATCTTACATATTGTTGAATTCAAAATCACTTGGTATAAAAGTGGGAGGAAATGAGGTGTGATAGTATATGCTATACCGGAATATCAATAAACTCAATTATTGAAATTGGTCACGATACCTTTTTTAGTTTAGTTTATATAATTTGTTTAGTTCAATATCTCGCATGCTAATTGGAATTAAATAATTAGTAGATCTATTCCACCCAAAATAAGAATAGGCTAGTGTTATGAACTCATAATTTATAATAAACATGTAGGGGAGATCGAACTCACTAGTCACAACCTATTCGTTAGATATATATATATCAATTACTGCTGAACTATACTTATCTTAGTTTTATTTATTTCATACTGTTAACCTTGTGACGAAATATTGATGCGATATATTTGGTGATTTATCAGAGAATATTGGTAAGCAAACTATTTTTAAATTTTATTTAACAGATATATTGAGTAGATATTCAATGAAAGGTGTTTAACTTGATAGTCCGACAATTTTCAAGCTAGTAGATTAAATAGACACTTTATATTGATGTACTTCTGACGTATAATTTAACATTATTCTAATATCGATAATAGAACATAACTTTGATCCAGTAATTTTTTTATATGTTAAAGTTGTATTTCGAACTCAAAATCGCAACAGTACTATATTAATAATAAGTTGGAGTTACAAGTCTTTAAATTACAAATTCGAATATGGTGCATCTTGTTGATCAGAAGATTTAAGATTCGAACCTCCCACTCCACTCTACATATCATTAGACGAAACTAAAAACATTAAATTTGAAGCATATATTCAATAAATTACTCAAATCTATTACATGTTTTAAAAAAATTATAGACTTAATTTTATAATTGAACCTATTAAACTTTGTTTCAAGGCAAATATTTATTTTTTTCATTTGAAAAACAAATTATTTAGTTATTTGGGTTTTTTTCCGATTAAACATTCTATGAACCTTTATTCGATTTAAAGTTACCATTTAGGTTCAAACACTATTTTGGTACACATATTTTTAGTTTTTGGTTCATTTTAGTACGTGTAGTTTTAAAATATTCGTTTTAGTCCATATATTTGTTAAAGTAACTATTTTAGTTTATACCTGTAAAATTCTAACATAAATTTGATAACACCGGGAACTATTGAATATAAAATCATGAATACAGTTTAAGTAATATATAAATTATAACTTCATGTTGAAAGTATAATTGAAAAATGAGATAAAAATTAAAATGCGGATCAAAATCATAAATTTTTTTAAAAGTAGAGGAATAAAATAATATTTTAAGTGATTTTATTTTTATGTTTTATCACTTTTTGTTGCCTAGAAGAAGACCTCGCGCCTCTTTGTATTACAGTCTACACTGACTTCGCGGCTTCAACTCTCGCAGGAGGTGCGCTCAGCCTCAGACTCTTTTTGATTTGCTCGATCCATGGCCAACAATCCTTCACAGCTACTCCCCTCGGGTTCGCCTCTGCTTCTTCTTCGCCTTATTTGTCGTTTCCCCCTCTATTTTCGCACCAAATGAACTATCGTTTACTGGGTTTCTTGGTGGGAATTTGCAGAGTTAATCGACCGATGTATAGGGTCCAAAATATGGGTCATTATGAAAGGCGACAAGGAGCTCGTGGGTACTCTCAGGGGATTCGATGTTTATGTCAACATGGTTCTCGAAGACGTCACTGAATAGTAAGGGCCTGTCTCAGAATTGCAAGATCTGAACTCGTGTTTCCTTGTTTTCTCATTTGGTTGTGTATGTTTTATGTTTCGCATGATTTGTTTTGTTTCAGTGTTGGAGAATTTGAGGTGAATTGTTGGAAGAAGTAGGGTTAATGTTGTATTTGTCCGTCTTTTTGCGACTGAAAACATAGTTTAAGCGAGAGAGGAGACTGCGCTGGAGCAATTTGAATTATTGATATTGCAATTCCGTTTTGTTCCCTCTGTTATTCTCCAATCTTAGGAGAGGTTGCCTTTGGAAAGCTTTTGAGTTAGGGTTTAGAAACCCCTTTGTTCAGAAGTTTAAGAAGGTGATTCCTAATCTCAAGTTATATTAGGGTATGTTTCGGAGTGATTTTTGCTATCATTTGTATTTCATTGTCAAACATTAGGGCATATTTAAAAGTAATTTTGACATGATTAAATTCACTTTTGTCATTGTCATAATCAATTTCATTTAAAATAATAATGTTTGACAATGATATACAACTATACAAGTGATTCCAAAAAATGGCAAAAGTGCCAAAATCGCTCCTAAACATGCCATAACATAGAGGGAAAAAGTTTGTGAGAGAGGAGGATTACCATATGCATTCTGCTGACATTTCATTAAACAAAGTATTCCTATTCATGGTGGAAATAGTATAGTGGTAGAAAGAGAAGATTACCATTTACATTTCCTGTTCACTGGAAATCTCAAGTAACATGGAAGGAAAGAGTTGGTTTAAGTGTCGAGAAGTACTGCAGGAGGAAAAAAAGTAGCAGTTTCCATACTGCCATTTTGATCGTTTTATTTCTCTTAGTCTGTTTTCTTGCACTTGTTCACATGCATACACCTTTATCTGCTTATTATTGGTTTTTTACTTTCAATTGTTGATTCCTGACAAATCGGGGGCCAGTGACCATGCTTTGTGTCACTGCTCAATTCTACATATGGGATAGAAAGAACAAGATAACAAGTTAAGACAGGATATGTCATAATAAATGAATAATGTTTTGGCAAGAGCACTAGGAGTAATATGAAATTTGTTAAATTGTCTCTACTTCGACATTGGATTGAACCTTTTATTGATTTTTCTAATTTAATTTACTCACGATTCAAGCCTTCTGTAGAACTTGTTCTAGTTAATTTATTATGTTTCGGCTGTTAATTTGGCTATTGAAACAGTAAAAAATTCATACTCCTTTGGTTTTATGATGCTCCATAAAGTGATAAAGTTGCTCCTAAATTAACCAACATGTGATCAATCAGAATCTAGGATGTGTTCTATTGTCTCTAAATTTCCTTCCCCCACACACCTTTTGTTTGCCCATGTGTGTAGTTTGCAGTCTTTTATACAAACCTAATTCCTCTTTGTTTGAATTAAATCTCATGGCACTCTATTCAATGTACTATATGGATTAACTATGTCTGTTACACATTGCAGTGAGATTACTGCTGAGGGAAGACGGATAACAAAGCTGGATCAGATTCTACTCAATGGGAACAATATTGCTATTGTAAGTAACAATCATAGTCTTAATATTTACATGCACTTGCTTGAAGAAGCCACAAGTCTTGTGGATGATCACCTATGTCGATGGATAGTGATTGTGTAAGAGGCGAAGTTTCATGGTCGTGGGTGATCCTCCTTCATAATGACAATAATAGTAGTTAGAAGGAATCGTCATGGTTTGGCCTAATGGTCAAAGTGGCTAGTCATAAATTCACATGCCTTCTATGTAATTGATTTGCTGGAGCAAGTAGTTGTTCCATGAGATTATTAGTCATCTGTGTGTGAGCTCATCCAGACAAACTAGATAGAGAACTTGAACTAGAGGCAAAAATGAATAGAGAACTTGAGCCAAACTTTGTTAGATCGAGTAGTTCTCCAATGAGAATGAGATTGGTCATGTAAGTTGGTTCGATTGTCCTTTAAGATTATTCAATGTGAATGTAAGGTGGTCGAGTTTTGGTTTAAGATTAGTGAACATGAACGTGCGCGTAAGCTCTTCTAGGCAAAGTAGTTGTTATTAACATGTGATTGTTGAAACATTTTGTTTGTGTGCAGTTGGTCCCTGGTGGATCCCCGGATCCAGAATAAGTTCGGATGGGTGTGGCTGAATACGAATAGCCATATACTTTTGGTTGGGAAACTTTGTACCATTTTATGAGTTGGCTCCCAGCAACCCCCAAGGTTTTATTTTCTGTATGACCCTTAACCTTATAACTATCATGTATTTTGATTTAAGTAAAGCGATTTACCTTTTAGATTCACTGCTTACATTAGAAATCTGTTGGCTAAATTCTGAAGTGAATTTGACTGCTGTCGATGGATACGTCGGATTGAGTGGCAAAAAAGTAAAGTTGAGTTGAAATGAAGCAATTAAGAGGTGAAGATAAGTTTTTATTGGTGTAAACAAGTGCAAAGTTGTCGATTGATACACATTCTTATGGTAAAAGCAAAAAAGTCTAGATCGCAGTTCTTGCATTGGAAAGGTGGTCGACAGAGTCACCTCTTTCGAACACAGCAGCAGCTCCCATCCCTGAGCCTGCCCACAACCATAAACATAGATTCATTCTAATATAATGTAAATTGAGACTTTGTCTCTGATTGATTCTATAAAGAGAGTTTACAGGTATTAGGTACCTATGCACATGGAGATGACACCGAAGCGAGAGTTGTTCCCACGACGTTTCATTTCATGCAACAGCGTACCTACACACCGAGCGCCTGAAACCAAAACAAAATAATGAGACGAGACATGACGGTGGGTGGGTGTTGGACGAAGAGGCAAGGATAGAAATATAATAGGAATACCAGTAGCACCCAAAGGATGGCCGAGGGCGATGGCACCACCATTAACATTAACCTTGTTCGAATCGAGCCCCAGTTTCTTACAGCAATACACATACTGTGACGCAAATGCCTGCCCATATCCAACCCAGAACCAACTCAACTTCACAAGCTATATGCAATTCTTCTCTATCTTCAAGTTTTCAAACACTTCTAAACTAAAAGTAAAAAAATCCACCTCGTTAATTTCGAAAAGGTCAATATCTTGAAGATGAAGACCAGCAGATTTAACAGCTGCTGGAATTGCAACAGCTGGTCCAATTCCCATTACTGCTGGATCCACACCAACTGCTGCAAAACTCCTGCATCAATTTGTTTTAGAAGAGACAGTGCCTCAGCTGCAGCTGCACAATGATGGAATGGCCTTAATAATGGTAAGAAAGAAAATGGAGATACCTGAAGATCCCAAGAATAGGAAGTCCTTTTTGAATAGCTGTGCTTCTTCTCATCAGGAGGACTGCAGCAGCACCATCACTAATTTGACTAGCATTACCTATCAAAATTAGCTATTCATTTAATCCCATTCCCATTGTCAACAAATACAATATTATAGCAAAGCAGTCTCAAACCTGCTGTTGTGGAGCCATCTTTCTTGAATGCTGGCTTCAGCTTTGCCAAATCTCCCAGGTTTGTGCTTGGCCGAATGCCATCATCCACAGATACAGTCACTGCCTTCTCAATGCCAGATTTCGGTTCGATGATCTTCAAAATATGGTGAAAAGTTTGTAAGTGACACCAAGAAAGCAAAATGAATGCACGGTGTTCACTTCACTGGAGGAGTCATTCTGCGGTTTACCTTTGTGGAAACAGGGATGATCTCATCTTTGAATTTACCAGATGCCGTTGCTGCAGCCGCACGCCGATGCGATTCAACCTGTTGGAATCACTAGTATGTCAATTGCTCACCTCTTAGTTGTGTAATATTAGAATACTTCATAATAATACCTAAAACCATAAAAAATACTAAGAAGTTTATTTCAGGATAAGCTTTTATTACTGACACAAACAAATTGTTAGAAGAAAAAACCATTAAGTTGAAATTGTAAGTTTATGTTTACAGTATCAAAACAAAGCTTCAATATATTAACTATTTAGTTTAATTTGGCTTAAGTCCACCCCATTTAACTCAATTTTATTCATAGACTATAATCAAATGATAAAACTTAGGTGCTACAGTACCCATTTCTTTCCGACCACCATTAAATTTTTGATAAATAGGAGAAAGGGTAGACAATGATATTTAATTATTTATATTTTTTTTTTGCATTTCAAAAAACAAATTTTTAGTGGATGGTCAACCAGAAGATGAGTGTTGATCGGCAAACACCTGAGTATTGTTCTTAGTAAAAATTTATTGAACTTACAGCAGCATGGTCTTGCTCTTCCCTACTCACACCATATCGTTGGGCAACATTTTCAGAAGTGATGCCCATCGGAAGCAGGCAATCTCGAGCTTGTTCAAAGGCATCTACCTATTAACGTTAATAAGTTAAAACTTAGAATACAAAGGTAAATAAGTTCAATCAACTTCTTTAAGAGGTAAAAAGTATAACATACTTTGGGATTGTTCCTATTAACACGGCCAATGTTATCAAGAGTCATACACTCCAACCCAGCTCCAATGCCTATTGTGCAAGACAAATATTGTTAAGGCCAAAAAATCAAACAATTTCATCACTTTTTTCTTTCCCTTTTCGGGCTTTCGAGTTCAATTGTCCTTACCAATATCATAGAATCCAGCTTTGATGGCAGCAGCAACATCAGCAACGGCTTGAAGGCCCGACGAGCACTGTCGGTTGACAGTTCTTATGCTCACTGTTTCTGATATATCAAAAAGAAAGAATCCAAAACATAAGCCAAATGGCTGTGGAGGATAAGATTTTGGGCTCTCAAAATCTATCGAGACAAAGCCATCTCTCTATTCATGATTCAATTTTATAACAAAGTTTAAACTAAAAGTTTTAGTTTTCAACTTTTAGGATTGTGTCTAATAAATCTTTGAACTTCAGAAAAACAAATCTTGTATTTGATAGGTCCATGAATTTTAAAGATTATCAAATAGATAGATCAAAGACCTATTAAACACAAGATTGAAAGTTCAAGATCTATTAGATACTTTTAAAGTTCAGTGACCAAATTAAACATAAAATTAAAAGTTTAGAGGCTTATTAAAGTTTATGAACAAAGTTGAACTAACCTATGACAAACACATAAGTCTCATGGTTTCAAAAGATTGGTGATTGGTAAAGCACTCCAAGTTTTGAGTCAAAACTTAAGAGAGAGAATAAAAGCTGTTTCTATGTAAAACAAAAACACAGAAAGGTGAAGAAATATTATACCAGGGAAGCCAGCATAGAAAGCAGCCATTCTGCATTCAGATGCTCTGAGAGAGCCAGGAGCCAAAACTGTGCCAACTACTATATCACCAACTTCACCTGCATTCAAATTTGTTCTCTCAATCACAGCCTGCATCAACAATCCATTTCTTAGACAGAAGTTCTAAACAAAAGAAAAGGAGAAAAATAAGTCACATTAGAACTCTTGTACAAGCAGCCCCAAGGATGAACTTGTTGGCAAGGGCATGAGGTCTCTGAGTAACACCTACTCAGAGGTCGCATAGTCTCCTTAGTTTAGGCCTTGGGTGGTTGCGGGTGCCCTAATAGAGGGAACTAAAGCTCCGACTCTGGGTCATAAAAATAAAAAGAAATCTCGTACAAGTGCAGAATGAAAACATAGGCAAAAATTCTTTTTGGTTTTTTGTTGGTAAGTTCTAAACAAAAAAAAAAAAAAACTTTGGGCAAGTTGGAAAGAGAGAATATGCTAGAAAGAGAAAATCAGAAACCAAATAAAGCTAAATGAATGAAACCTTTAGAACAGATGCAAGAAGGTCATCTGCAGGAGTATCCTTGAAACCCCCTCTCCTTGCTTTACAAATAGCTGTACGATATGCTCTGTTTTTCATTGGTTTTTCCCAGCAGAAGATTATCAGAAACCATAAAGAGCTAACCAAGCAACATCAGAGGGAGAAAAAAACAAAACACAAGACAAACAAACTTACGCTACAATGACAACATCGTCTCCAAAAGCAGCAGTCCGGTGGTATGAATGTGAAGCACTCTCTCCAGCTGCACAAACAGAAGCCTGCCCAAACCCAAGCCAAAAAACAAGTTTAGACACGAACAAAGCCTCTATTTGCCAAATCCCCTCACCAAAATGCAGAGGTAGAAATTTTATAGAGCTTAAATCGCTCCCTTTTGGACCAGGAGATCGAGCACAGAAACTACTATTTCAGACCACCGCTGAACTCAGAGTTTAAGTTAATAGATTACTGTATATTTGATCCTATTTACACACAATCAATCGTGTATCCACAACAGAGCGAAGCAAAAAAAGTGCGCAGCAGGAAATTAACAGAGGAGCTACAAAGTGGGCATAACACATACAGAAAGAGAAGCAGATTCATGGGTCTGAGAAGAAATCGAAGAAGATGAATAGTTTGGTTGCAGATGTTGGAGGAGAACGGTTTGCCTGTTGAGAGCCTTCTCCATTTCTGTCTCTCCCTCTACAATGGCGATGCTAATCACTCCGAGTCCAAGTTCTTAGGGTTCGAATGCAGAGGAATCTGGTGATAAATAGAGGAAATGGAATTAGTTGGGCACTGAAATTTCTGCCCAAATTCACTAAAAAGGAAAATAAAAAGTCGTCACATCACAGTCTGTGAGCGCCCCCACAGGTAAACGCGAAAGTTTCGGTGAAATATCGTGAGGTGATTTAGGGGAAAGAGAAGCAAGAGACCGGCCATGGCCACTCACCGCAGCTTTCAGAGTTTTTGCCATCAAAATTTCGAAGAAAGTCGTGGGAAATTTAGCAATGCTTTTTGTCGGCCACACCACAGCCACGAGCCGCGGTAGTTACATTAGAACACGTTCAAATAGTTTGTTGAAATAGAATGGACTCCTTCCACATTTATACAGACGAAATTACATTGCACGCCAAAAACATTTTATTATTTCTTGAAAAATGTTAGTCCTTTCCTTTTTAGGTTTTATTTTTCTTGTATAACTCTTTCATTTCTTAGGTAGGGATCATACTTTAACTCAACAAAATATGATAGAAAAAAAGGTTCAATTTAACTGAGTTCAACCAGCATAACTCAACAGTAATTAAAATATATCTTCAACCAAAATGTTATAAGTTTTTTCTTCTAGTCCACATGTTATTTTTTTAAAAAAAAACCCTTTCTCATCATTGATAATATATATATTTTTTCTGATGATATTAATTAAACAACATACATAAATACAAAACTATTTGAGACATACGTTAAAAATACAACCTTCTTCCATCCAATAATAAATAAATAAATACATACAACTTTGCGGCTATGAATGTTCAAATCATACAAAAACTTTAAAGAACTTCAAAATTTTTCTGTGAATGCGAAAGCCACCCCAATAAAAGAAAAAATATATACTTTTTCTCAGCATCCACACCAATGAGATTATCCTATATAGTATATATACATATTTTAGAATTTATAATAATAGGTAAAAGATAATTTTAACCAATTTTTTTCTAATCAAAAATAAAATTGTTCCTTGAAAATATTGTTATTATTATCATTGCGATTTTCTTAACATGTCTAATAACGACTATTTAGAAGATTATCCTAATTTTTTTATTTCATATTGAGGGCTTTTCACATGTATATGGGTGTATATTTTTCTTAGTTTGCTTGTGTTTATTTATTAACTTTATGAAGATTAATATCTGAGGCTAAATCTAAAGTTTGGACTGTTCGATCGGAATCACCCCTTTCAAACACAGCTGCTGCAGCACCAATGCCTGTGCCTGAAACCCACAGCAAATTCCTTCAACATCAGTAACACCATCTCACTGCCACATAATTAACCATACTTATTTTTAGGTTTGATTATAAATTTGGTTTCTAAACTTGTAAAGTTGTGTCTATTTAGTCCTCACACTAGTTTCTAATAGATAAAAAAATTTCATAGTCATGTCCATTTAGTCCTATACTCTTGAAATTTTCTAATTAATTCCTGAACTTTCAATCTTGTATATGATAAATTCTTGCTAAACTTAGTTAGTAAAAGTTTATGTGGGATGCAAATTTTAATATTCAAGAAATATCTAAAAATTCAAGCCACCGCATTATCCTACACAAATTTGAGAGTAGGGGGACCTGTTTTTATAGACTATTTAGACATAATTCAAACTAAGGATATGTTTGGGAGTGACGGTAGGAGTGATTTTGGAAAAAAAGATTTAAGAATAATTGATTTTCTAAAATCACCATCCAAATAATAACTTAAAATAAAAAAATTTTAAGTGATTTTATGTTTTCCTAAAATCAATTCTTTAATTTGCCAAACATGTTCAATGAAAATAGAAGTGATTTTGACGATGACAAAAGTGATCAATCACTCCCAAACACACCTTAAACTTATACTTCCAACCTTATTTTTCTTATTAGGCTAAAATGGCCAAGAAGGAAAGTGCTAGGGGTTAGAGAGACAGACCTGTGGGAATAGAAATGACACCAAAGCGAGTGTTCCTCCCACGACGCTTCATTTCATGCAAGAGAGTAGCCACACAGCGGGCACCTGAAACAAATGGAAAAATAAAAAAACTTTTATCATCTGCATAAGGTTAAGGTTTTCAAGAATTACTTTCCATGAAAAACATAGAAATGATTTTAAAAGATTCAGACATATCATGCTGGGTGTGTGGCAAATGGAAATAGAAATGAACATGAGAGATGTGAAATATGATGAACAAACTTTAAGATTAATTACCTGTTGCACCCAAAGGATGTCCGAGGGCAATTGCACCTCCATTAACGTTCACCTTCTCAGTATCAAGCTCTAGTTTCTTACAGCAATACACATACTGAGATGCAAATGTCTGAGATAACAGAGGAGGACAAAAGAGTTCATTGAAAGGGGAACAAGAGAAACTAGAACCTTAGGACTGTTTCTCGTTTTTGGTTTCTCATTTCTTGTGTTTTCAAGAGGATAAAGAAAGACATTTTTTGTAATCATCTCCGTTCCTTAAACCATTTTAACTGAGAGTCAAAAGTAATATTACCTCATTAATTTCAAACAGGTCGATATGTTGAAGCTGAAGACCAGCAGATTTGACAGCGGCTGGAATTGCAACAGTTGGTCCAATACCATAAACGGCTGGATCAACACCAACTGCTGCAAAACTCCAGCATGAATTTACCCCCAAAGAAAAAAAAAAACAAAAACAAAATCCTTCAGCTGCAGAACATTTTCTGTTTACCCTTCTTCTTTTCCCTGGATTTCTGTCTCCGTTTTTATCCGAGAGGAAACCATAAATGATGTTCTCTCTTCATGATAGAAAGATCTAAAAACTGGTATACCTTTTGGAAAATAACCTTATGAATAATATTTGAGAAAATAAAAAATAAAATTATTGTTAAAGTACAGTGACATTCTCTCTAACCTGATAACACTTAAAAATAAAATATATTCCGAGTAATTGCTATGACATTATGAAAAGGTTGATATTTTCACGATCACAAGTGTGTTTTTTTCATTAGAACAGATACCTGACACAGATAGATGATATACTGAAAGATTACTTCATACATTCATGCTTGATTTTCGTCATATTTATTTCAATATGAAGATTGATTCCCCCACTCTTTATACTGTACGTAGTGAACTCTATTGTAAATTTCATACCTGAAGATCCCAAGAAGAGGAAGACCCTTCTGGATAGCTGTGCTTCTTTTCATGAGAAGGAGCACAGCAGCTCCATCACCATTTTGACAAATATTCCCTATAAAATGACATGAATTTCAGAATTAACAAAATCTCATATTTTATAAATAAGCAAAGGGACTGTGTAAACATAAAACCTGCAGTTGTGCAGCCATCTTTCTTGAATTTTGGCTTCAACTTTTCCAAATCTTTCATGTTTGTGCCTGGACGAATGCATTCATCCACAAATACAGTCACAGGTTTCTCCACACCAGATTTTGCGTCCATGACCTTTGGAGTATGGCAAAAAATTTGTAAGTGACCACGAAAATAAAATGAGTGCATAACTTTTGCCCAGTAAAGGAGTCATTATTCAATTACATTAGTGAAAACAGGGACGATCTCATCTTTGAATTTACCCAATGCAGTTGCAGCAGCAGCATGCCTATATGTGATTCAACCTATTGAAATCACTCCAATGTCAAATTTTCACTAGTCGGCGAGGTCTGAGTTATCAATTGAAGAACAGAAATAATATTTAAGTTCAAGATTATCTTGCAAACCAATGAAGAGGAAGCCAAAACTTTTATGTCTTGTGAGGTGAAGGCCTTGACTTGGCCCAATTTTCTTCTTCCTCTTGGTGTTCAATCCATAGCTCTTTCAATAATTTTACTCCTTTCACAATTTACTCAAATTAAAGTACGTTTCTTTGTTGACTCCTAAAGAGTGTTCCTAACTTAGGTAACTTATTTTGGTCTCTTCACTGTGTGAATAAAAGGCGATTTCAGTTGAAATGGTAATAAATGTAATTCAAATGTTCAAGCTATTTAGTAACTTCTTTTTATATATTGAAGGTTCAAATCTACCTGTTCGTTTGAATTGCAATGTTAAAATAATATATATATATGTGTATATATATATATATATATATATATATATATATATATGTATATGTATATATTTATAAGTCAGAATTAAAATCAAGATTTATTAAAACAATAAATTTTAAGGCTGCCAAATTTAAAAGCATCTGAATGAATTCAAGAACTTAAAGCAGCTTGATCTTGCTCTTCCCTACTCACACCATAGCGCTCGGCAACATATTCAGAAGTGATGCCCATAGGAAGCAAAGAATCTCGAGCTTGTTGAAAAGTATCAACCTGTTAACACCTTTTATTACTTAAAAAATAACGCAAGCCAAATCAATCAAGTTTCTTCAAAATGTAAAAGAAAAAAAATACTTTAGGATTTCTTCTACTAAGGAGGCGAATCTTATCAACAGTCATGCACTCCAAGCCAGCTGTGATGCCTGCATGCAAGAGAATATCTAGAAAATGTTCCTTTTTGCGTTCTCAAATTCTGAAGTTTTGAATTTTTTATTTCAAGAAAATTTCATAAAATGAACCGATTTTGCTCTAGGGCAATAAATATAGGGAACAAAAAGGATTATTGACTGAACTAAAACTTCGATTATCCTTACCAATATCATAAAATCCTACTTTAATAGCAGCAGCAACATCAGCAACTGCTTGAAGGCCTGATGAGCACAGCCTACTGACAGTTCTTAAGCTCACTGATTCTGATACATCAAAGACAAAATATGAAGAATATAAGCTAAATTGTCATAGAGGACGGAATTTTGGACCCTGGAATCCAATGGAAATAAAACTATGTTTGTTTATGCTTCGCTTTTATAACAAACATAACTTTGTTTTTTATTGAATATCATTGGAATGAGATTCAAACGTAGGATTTATGAGAGTATCAATATTCATGGGTTCAATCTCATAATCTATTGGCCAAAGGAGTATGACATGTATATTATAAATCTGGTTAGGTCCCTGATATTGTTAGGATCCCAAATACAAGAACGTAACTAGATAATTATATTGCAATCTCAAACCGAAACTACAATATCAATAGCCTCTCTCTCCCAAGAACTCTCTCAAGTTCCTCACACAATACTATTGCCAAAGGTACTCTCCTTCTCCCTTACTACCCTTATTTATATCCATCTTACCTAACTAATTACCAATTCTAATTACCATATTGCCCCTTCATACTAACAAACTAATAATATTCTCCTATACCCCTAATAGGACTCTCACAGATATTTTCGATGTGGGATCCTTCATGTCCTTCAAGATGGTGGCTCTTTTGAGCTCACCAA